CTTTTATATATATATTCTTTTTCTCATATATTTCTTCTATTAGTTTATACAGCAAAAACAATTAAGAGAATAATTTTTGCATTGTTTTTCAGGAAAAGTAAAGTTTATACGCGATTAAATTTTACATATTCTATATAATTCTCTACTATAATTGTATGTATTTGTATATAAAGCCGGTCAAAGATGGCAATAGAAATATCGCTCACCTAAAAATGAAATGGGTAATTATTTACATTAACGGACACCTCGCCGATGACCTTGACCTTGACATATGTTGTCAAGGACATGACCCTGAGTAACTTTTTCTTATAATTTAATCGGCGGTTACTGTTTATTAAAAAGTCATAAACAAAAAAAGTTTGAGAAATTTGCCACTTTGTGTCAGTGCTAAAGGAAGTAATTGGTATATTTACAACGCAAAGCGAGGTCCACCCCACAATTGTTGTGTGGATGGGAAAGTGTATATGTGGACGCAGTTGGTTCCGCCCCCCCCCCCTCTACGGGGGGGCTCCACTTCCGGAAGATATAACCTAATCCAAACCAAATTTTTAATGTAAATAATTACCAAATTTGATGTGAATTACGTTGTATAACCCAAACCAAATTTTCGTTACAAATCAAACTTTAACTTTAAATATCTCAGAAATTATAAGAGACCGCCGATTAAGTTATAAGAAAAAGTTACTCAGGGTCATGTCCTTGACAACATATGTCAAGATCAAGGTCATTGGCGAGATGTCCGTTAATGTAAATAATTATCGAAATTATGTATAGGTTTAGTATTAGGATATAAGATTTGCGTTACAATGTTATAGAGTATATCGTAAATTACATCACAAATACATTTCTAAAGTCTTTTTAACATTCATTTTTTAATCTTTGCAGAGATTTTCGAAAATTGCAATGAAACAGATAAAATGCAAAATGGTGAAAGAATAACAGATCGACATTTAATTTTCGCACGAGATAAAGAACTAACAGCAAATTTGTAGGACAGTAGATAAAAGTTTAATTCAATGATTAATAGTACTTTAATTTTATGCGCTCTTTTTATTTCAACCTGTAAGTCCGGCAATTTATCTTATATATATTTTCTTTTAAAATGTTTTATGATAGTATGACTATAAAATAATACGATAATACTTTTTTTCCTATTTTCTTTTAGCTGATAAAAAATAATCATAAACACAATGACGATTCATTCTAATATAATATAAATGTAGCAAAGAACAGGCGCAGTCGCAGTCGCATTCATCTCGCTTTTGCGTGTTCCGCTTTTTTTTCGATAACATATAATCCCGATAATCCGAAAGATTCTCGAGTTGTTCGTTTTCTTTTACTGTTTATCGAATCACTCATCGATACGATGAGATTGATCGGGATCATGTATTTGCTGTCGTTTTGCGGTCGTCTTGATGCGGCGCCGGCGAATGTGACCCCCGAATCAAGTACGTTCATGAGGAAAATAATATGGATTAGCCAGAATGAGTCGCACAACGCCGAATCCAATCCTGATGTCAATCTCAACACGGTAAATATACGTTTTCACTCATAGGATTAACAAGGATTAACATCAAACAAGGATTATCGTTTTCATTATTTTGCTTAACTTCTTGCATGCCGTCAGAAAATGATCAAAAATGATTTTATGCTGCGATTGGCCATTTTTTTATTCAAAATTGCAATCTTCATTCCGCAAAATTACACATATTCTTTAACGACGTATAAATATTTATATTTTTTGCTTCTTCATAGAGGAAGCTTAGTTTTTGTGACAAAATTTTTTTTCAGTTTTCTATGCTAATGTGTTTAGAATGTTCCAAAACATCGAAAAATCATATTTAAAAAAAATGTTTGTATGTATGTATCTATGTATGTACGGAATGTACATTGTACAACCTTTAATTTCCGCAATTTCT